TGGAGAGACAGAGACAGGAGGGTCCCTGGGGTGTGCTAGCCAGCCTCGCCTAATTGGTGAGCTCCAAGTTCAGAGAGAGATCCTGTCTCAGAAAATGAGGTGGAGAATGAGGAAGCAATGAGGTACAGACCTGCAGCTACACATGCACACACATGCACAAACACACGTGTGCATGTACACACAAAGAGAAAAGAAGAGATCATTTTGTCTATAAACATCCATGCTGTGGGATGTTCTGTATGTTAAATGTGTTGCTCTGATTGGTTAATAAGTAAAACACTGATTGGCCAGTAGCCAGGCAGGAATTATAGGCGGGACAAGGAGAGAAGAGAATTCTGGGAAGTGGAAGGCAGAGGCAGAGAGACGTTGCCAGACACCATGATGAGAAACATGTTAAGATACCGGTAAGCCACAAGCTACGTGGCAACTTATAGACTAATAGAAATGGGTTAATTTAAGATATAAGAACAGTTAGCAAGAAGCCTGCCACGGCCATACAGTTTGTAAATAATATAAATCTCTATGTATTTACTTGGTTGGATCTGAGCGGCTGTGGGACTGGCGGTGAGAGAGATTTGTCCTGACTGTGGACCAGGCAGGACTGGAGAAAACTCCAGCTACACATCCACCTCCCAGAATTCCCACACTAGGAAGCTCCATTACACTAACTCAGGCCATGAGGTGTGGTGGCAAGCCCTCAGCAACCTCCCTAGTGGGCAGAACCTCAGAGTAGGTCTCTCTACAAGATCCACACACAAGCAAGTTCTCCAACCTGCTCCAGACTCTCCTGCACTGAAAACCAATCACTAATCCAGAAGGTTCTTGTGCCATGACATTGAGGGTGAAGTTAGCGGTCAGCAATTTCTCTTCAGTGACATTTTTTTTATTTGGGGATTCTAAAGCCTTATGGGAATCGCTATAACTCACACACATTTCTAGAATAGGGGCCTTTGGGCAAAATGACCTCCTGTTGTCCCCTCCCCCTTCCCAGAGTCAGCCTAGTCATGGGTCATCCAATCAATGAGTGGGGACCCAATGAGCACTCTTCCCTTAGGAATACTAGTTTGGCTCTTAGGTTGTTTTTTTTTTTTTAAATATAGATATAAATTGCCACAGATTCTTATTTATTTACTTTTACTATGTGTACTTGCTTGTGTGTAGGGAGGGGGAGGTTGCTCATGCATGCCTGTGGAGAGCACATGTGGAGTTCAAAGGACAATTCTCCAGTTAATTCTCTTCTGCCCCCTTGTGGGATCCGGGATCAAACTCGGGTTGTCAGGTCTGCTTGGAAATGTCTCTACCTGCCTAGCCACCTCATCAGCCCTTTTTTCCTTTTTCAACATGCATGAGACCAAGTGTCCCTGGTTCTACATGGGGGTAGCATGACAGATACTGTAAGAAACAACACTGTTCTGAGCAGGAACCTACAGGACCCTAAACAGCTAGGGTTAAATCCTAAATCCTGACCCCTTTTTTTTGGAGGAGGGGGGGTCAATTATTTCTATCATTCTCTATTATTTAGTTGCTTGAACCTGTTGTCCACAAAAATTCCCCCAAATAATTAACTACGTCATCCAGCAGAATGGATGAAGCAGACCTGAGGTTGAAGTCAGTCTACTTCTCATTGGCTGTTTGGCTTGGGATTTTTTTTTGGTATGACTTATTTTTTTTTTAATGTAGGTATATGTCTTTTTATTGGTGCATATATGTATATGTGTATGCTTACATGCATGCAGGTGCTCACTAGAACCAGAAGAGGGTATAAGATCTCCTGGAATTATAAGTGTTTGTGAACCACCCAATGTGGGAGCTAGATGTGGATGGTTGCTAGATGTGGGTGCAAGGAATGAAACTCAGGTCCTCTGGAAAACAGCAAGCACTCTTAACCACTGAACCATCTCTCCAACCTGTCTTTTAATAAATACAGAGCACCCACTAAGTGTCAGGCTCTATCTGAAATGCAGTGTATGCAGAAAGGATTTAACTAAGGATGCCCGAGAGACCAACAGGTGTGATACAAAAGAGAATTAGTCAATCAGGCGGTGGTGGCACATGCCTTTAATCCCTGAACCTACGGGTTGTCTGACAGTGCTGTGGGAATTTAGAGAGGGGGCTAATCCAGACAGGCATGGAGCCAAATGGTGGAGGAGGTGGCTGCCCAAGCCTGAAAGGACTGATGAAGATGAAGAGAGATGAAGGCAGAGGGTCTCCTGCATGGCCTGGCCCAAACAGAAGTCCGGAGATGAGAGCACTAAGGACAGGAACTACACAGCGGGCAGGGCCTCCATCTTAGCCATCTGCCTCCTCCTCTACCATAGCTCTGCCTCCTCCTCTACTCTGATGTGATCTGGACACAGGCGGAGGATGGCCCAGGACAGGGGACAGCTGGACACCCTTGGGCCTAAGATGCCCTTAACAAGAGCACCCACATACTGTTCCCCTCCTCCACATACCTCCTTAACTTGGGCTAAGGTTCAATGCCGCTAATTAGCAGCAATCAATCCAGCTCCCCCCCCAGCCCCACCCCTCCATCAAACCCAGACTCTGAGGCTTCCTTTCCCTCCTGCAGAGAAAGCACAGCTGTGCTGCAGGCAGGGCGGGGGGTGGGGGGGAGGCTGAGGTAGACAGTAGGGCGGGGGGGGGGGGGGGGTGGAGGTGTTGGACTCTCTAGCTCCCATTTGGGCTGAGCATCCGTGATAACAGAAATTTCTAGCCAGAAGGGGCTTTTTGCCTTTCCCATGGGGCGCCATCAGTTTAGTCCTCAGATAGCCATCACACCCTTGCCATCATGTAAAAACTCTTCCTTGGTCACCGTAAAAACCCTGTCACCACCGTGCTTCCTTGTCACTTCACACAGGCCCCAGCACAGAGATGGCATTCAACAAACAGTCACAGGGTGGGTGGGTGGGAGGACAGATGAATAACGGGTCAACCGGCAGGTGATGTGTTATCCCATTTTACAGAACAAGAAACTGAGGTAAGCCAGGCATGAGGCCTGACATCTGCCATCCCAACACTTGGGTGGCCGAGGCAAGAGGATTAATGTGGATTTGAGGCCAGCCTGGGCTCCAGAGCCTCTGTCTCAAAGTAAAAATTTAAAATGTAAAGAAAGAAGGAAGGGAGGGAAGGAGGAAGGGGTGAGAGAGGTGAGAAGGGAGGGAGAGAGAGAAGAAATAAAAAGAGAAAATAAGAAACTGAGACAGAGAGAAAACACGACTTACCCCAAACTAACCAGATATCTAGAGGCAGGTCAGGACTAAGTCTTAGTTTACCCACCCACCTCTCCAGCATGCACCTTTATACCCAAATCAGCTCTCCTCATGGGCTTCTTGGCCAGTAGCTCAGAAGCCAAGTTCCTTCCAATTTAGCTCTCATCAAAAATATGGAGTCTCCAGAACCCGTGATCATGAACTTGAGGTGTGGCAGCCCTTTCTAGAGGGCAGTGGCCTCCCAGCAGGAGCCCCACAGTAGCTCTGGATAGCCATGGGGTGATGGCACAGGCTTGGAACCACCCGGACAGACACGTTAGCAGTCTCAGCACCCCCCTTTAGCTGGCACCTGCCTCCCCACTCTCGCTGGCTTGCCCATCAGGAGGCAATGCTAGCTTCCCTTCTCTGCATTCCCAGAAGCCTGGCCCCCACCTCTTCAATCTCAGGCTCCTATCAGCATGCACCGATGGCACCCATACCACCCATCCCTCTGGGTTAAGTGAGATGGTGAGTGAAGCCCCAGACTCCCGGCGTTCCTCTCTCTTCTGGAACCTGAGGCCTCAGCTTCAACAGGGACATCAACCAGGCAGGTTCTTGCACAGTCCCATGTGGCAGAGACCTCACGTGGCATCCCTGCCTTACCCCTCACCTCTCCCACCTTCCCAAGGGCCCAGAGTTCCTCTTGAACTCCTGGTTCTGTCCCTAAACTCTGCCTCACACCAAGTCAAGTACCTTCTACTGGCCTTCATTAAGCAGCAGCCTGCTCACCCTGGGACCTAGGCTCAGTCCTCAGCTCTTGGCTTAAGGTCTCCTCGGGCAAGTTAGTCGTTGCCTCGTGGACCCTGGACAAGCATTTGGCTCCCTATACCTGGAGTCCCTTCTTTCCTTCTGGCCTTTCTAAAGCTTCTGGTTGCTATACCCAGGGCAGGATGGAGTCCTACCTCCAATCCAAAAGTCCTAAGTGGGACTTCAACACAGTTTTGGGATTTCAAGAACTTGGGCACATTTGATAGAAAACAGTACATTGCTAGAGGCATTCTTGTCCCCCACCCCCAACCGGAAAAAAAAAGCTTACAACTAGCTGCCTGGAGCCCCCACCCCCACCTTCCACCCTGGATCACATGACCTTTACCACCAAAGTCACCTCAACACCGCAGACTTTAGTTTCCTTTCCCCTGACCCTCACCTCATTCCACCAAGGGCTGAGGATGATGCTAGGACCCGCCCACTTTCCTGCCCATCTCTTCCTATACAGAGCCAGAGGCTTGTGGTCAGGAGGGCTTGCCAGGTATCCTTGATGACCACTGGACACTACACACAGTAGATATTGTCAAGGCTATGACCAGTGAGAGGTCAGTGGGCCTGTAGTCCCAGCAGGCAGAACCAGGGACCTGGGAAAAGTGGACTCCCACAGAATCCTGTTAGCATCTTAAAGGGTCCCAAAGAGTCCTTTTGATTCATTCAACCTGGCCCCCTTTACACCTTCTGTGTACCCACACAGAGAAGAAGATAGACCAGGCTGAGTCCTCTGAAATACTGGGGTTCTTCCCATTATACAAGGAGAGACCACTGAGGCCCACCCAGATCAACACCTATCTGTCATTGAACAATCGGTCAGCCAAGGAAAGGAATGAGATCAAACTCAAAGGCCTTAGCTTCTAGGGTTGGCTCAAGGCTTGCAACACATGCCTCCCCTTGTGACTTCACCAGCTCCCTCCAGTCAGGCTCCACATCCTGCTCCAGATGTGCCAAATGACAGGGAGAACTGCCCACCAGCAGGCACGTACATACCTATGGTACCGAGTCTCCAGCTTTTCCCCAAGGGTGCAAGCCTACTCCTGGCAGAGGATGGGGGAGGGAAGCCCGGAAGCTACAGCCTGTGCATGCAAATGAGGCAGCTGTATAATTAATTAACATCGAACAGTTTCATTAGGAGACGGAGCTTTGCGGCTGTTTGTCTTGAAGGGAAAAAAAAAATTGAAGCAGTTCAGAGAATAGGATGTAGTACTGTTCAAGTCTAACTTTGAAGCCAGAGGAGCACCCACCACGGCTGCGGGGGACAAGGCTTGCTAGGAGAGGTTGCCCGGGGTGGCTTTGGTCCTCATATCTTAGAATGGGTTTTCCTGGAGATCTTCTCACCAGGGATGATGGGCCCTCGATTGTCAGTTGGATTGCTCAAGCTACCTCTGCTCGGGCCTCACTCAGTGGCTTCGGTGTGGGAAGGGAGGGGCGTCCCAGACAGCAGAGCGAGAGCGCCCCCTGGAGTGGAGAGTTCCCCCGTCTATCTGAGTAGTTGGCTTCCCCAGGGAGAGTCAGTCCTCTCCACAGCTGGGAGAGCAGAAGCCGTGATTCCAGAATGGTCTCTAAGCGCTGTGGGACAAAGGACAACACTAGGGAAGCCAAACCCAAACCAGGACAGCTAATTCTCCAGCTCCCATGCCCCTCCCTCAACATAGGTTGAGTTTTTCTATAACACGGACGGAGGGAAGCACAAGGTTGGGCAGCTCCTTGCTAAGCCTTCTAGGAGCCTCCTTGGGTACCAGCCATGGGGTGTGCCTCTCCCCAAGCCCATCCTCCTTGGGTACCAGTCATGGAGTGTTCCTCTCCCCAAGCCCATCCTCCTTGGGTACCAGCCATGGGGTGTGCCTCTCTCCAAGCCCATCCCAGTTCTTTCCTGTTGCTGTGATAATCACTGACCAAAACCAACTTAGCGGAGAAGAGGTTTTTGACTTGAACGTCTACTTCACAGTGCATCCGTCAGGGAAGTTGGGACAGGAACTCAATGCGGGTACCTGGAGGCAGGAACTGAAGCAAAAGCCATGGAAGAACAAACACTCTTCCTGGCTGGCTCCCTGTGCCTTGCTCTGTTTGCTTTCTTGTGCACATACCCCCAAGAAACCTGCCTGGGGTGACACCACCCGCAGTGGGCTGGGCCCTCTCGCATCAGTCACTAATCAGGAAAACAGACCTGCACATGGGCAATCTGGTGGAGGCATTTTCTCTATTGAGGTTCCCTCTTCCAGGATGACCCTGGCTTGTGTCAAGTTGGGAAGAAATCAGACAAAAAAACTCACTAGCACGTACATGCCCCTTTGCCATGGGCAAAGTGTATATAAACAAGGGACATCCACTCTCGGAAGAAATCCTATCAAACCTTCCTGACCTGCCTCCACTCCCCTTGCGGAGCAGCCTCTGCATCCCACATTCACCCTGGGTTGCATCCACACCGAGGTACTTCTGTTTCCCATCCTGAGTAGCCTCTCACATCTCTGGTACGCCCTTCTGCTACGATGACCTTCTTGCCCTGTCTCACCTGCCTTCAGACTCCTCTACATCCGTCAGTGCCCAGTTTAGATGCCACCCTGCTCTGGAGAACCTTCCTCAGCTCCTGCCCTCCCTACATCTCCATCCCCTACAAGGCTGGCTATTTTCTTCCCCGTGCTCTGCATAATATATGCTATGATTGTTGTTTCAATTGATTGACTCTGACCGTAAGCAACTCACTCCTTGAAGGCAGAGACCATATCTTCCATGTCTCTGTATCATTAAGTCCCGGGCTACGCTTCAAAAGTTTGCTAGATGAGTAAATGAATAAATCTTTTAAGTTGAAAACACCTGTTCCAGACCCTTGACTCTTAATATTTCAACCATTCAGAAGTTGATCCCCTCTCTGAATCTATGTCACATCCTACAGCAGAGAAAGAGACCCTCGGTAGAGTTGAAGTTATCAGGGAACCAACAAAGGTGTGTCCCAGCAGGAAACACGCTAGGCTGGGTAGCATGGAGCTCTCCGTTGTCCCCAAAGCTGAAGCAGCTAAAAGGACCTGTCAGGGACCAAACATGAACCATGGAAAAGTACTAGCTAGGCCAGGGAACAAGCCACAGGCCCTAAACCAGATGCCCCCAAAGATAAAGAACATCCCGCGGTCAGGTAGCACAGCAACAGAACAATGGGCCCTGACTAGTGACCTTATCACCTAGCACAACATCCTGCAGCTTCACGACCTGCATGTCCCCCTTCAGCTACACGTTCCCCCCTCAGCTGCACATCCTGCACGTCCTGCACCCCTTCCCTCCTTCCTGCCCCCTCCCCCTCCCATGCTATATAAGCCTTGCTGAGGAGAATAAAATTTGCAGCTTGATCAGAACCCTGTCTTGCTGTCTTCCTTCATGTCTCCTGTCCCTTTCATTCTCTCCCGCAGGTGGGTCGCCCCCGTTGAGACCCCACTGGCTGGGGCAAGGACCCAGGTGCCTCTAGACTTCTGTGGCCCATCAGAGTGCCCTTCACATGCCCTCACATCCCAAGCTCAGGAAGTTTCTCCCCTTCAGGCACATGACAGACAGAGCTCTGCCAGAACACCAGCACCTAAGAGCCCTCCTCCAAACCTTCTAGATCCTGTGTTCCAGTTTTCCTGGGATGGCCGGAGAAGACCCACCCTCCGTTAACATGGTTATTACCAGTTGATTACCTGAGGTAACATTGTAATTGAAAAAGAGCAACAGGTACACAGATATTTTTGGCCTCCCTTCCCACCTCCTATCCCTGGGGGACGGAGGGAACAGGACTCCTGTCTACTCACAAGGCCCTGCTCCAATCAGGTTTTCTCTCTTAGCCTTTCTCCCCATGCACACACCCAAACACACACACACACACACACACACACACACACACACACACACACACACAGAGAGAGAGAGAGAGAGAGAGAGAGAGAGAGAGAGAGAGAGAGAGACAGAGAGAGAGAGACAGAGAGAGAGAGAGAGAGAGAGAGAGAGGTGTCTAGGGCGATATTTGAGACCAAACTAAACCCAGGGACCGAGCTGCCCACAGTCCCACAGACAGTACAGAGAGGGGTTCAGCAACAGTGGGAGAGATTTATTTAGTCTTTGAAAGTATGTAAAGGGGAGAGACACAAATCCTAGGCCTCACACCACCTATGTTATGGATTTTTATCTTCGCTGTAGTGTTATTCCACAATTAAGCATAGCTAACATATGTTAACTTATGAATTTTTATCCCAAGTTCACTGCCACCAGAGAGACACCGTGGTCAGGGTTTACATCTCTTCCCCCTTCACCTCCCTTGGCCCCTCCCTGGCTGAAGAGAACATAGAGAGGGTGTGAAAATGAGACCTTACCCTTCGCTGCCATGGTAATCCAGCACCTACCACTCCCGAGGAGAATATACCAGGTGTCATCTCTCCTTTCCCCTGAATGCCACCTCCTGGGCGGAAGTCCAGTGTCACCCGACACCCTCACATACACATCACTGAGATGCCAGATCCTGCCTTCTTTCCTGTCCTCTCGCCTTTGATGGTCACAGCTTGTGTCTTTCTTGCAGATGGCTATGACAGCCTCTGTGTGGGGACCCCACCTCCAACTCCACCCGTCTTCACAGTGAGGCTGATGTGAGCTTTCTAAAACAATTCTGACCATTCCTTCCTCCAACATTAAGTCCTTTCTTTTCTGCTCAGGTCCCTCGACAAAGGACCAGAATCTCCCAGGATACAGCGTCAACCCCGTTGCTCCCCCATGTAGCCTTCTCCGGCCCCTTGACCACCTCCAGACTTCTTTCATTCTCTCGCCCCTGGCCCTCAGCATGTGCGGCTCCTCCATCTCTTTCCCGGTGCTTTCAAGCTTCTGGACACCATCTACATCTTGCACCCCTAGCACTTAGTACAGAGAAATGAGGTCTGTTTAGCAAATAGATGGATGAAAATGAGGAAAGAGAAGGGATAAAAAAAAAAACCATGACATTGTAGAATCTTCCCCATTTTTTTTTTTTAATTTATTTACAGGTGGTGCTTCAGGTCAAACCAAGGGCTTTGCACCGGCTAGGCAAACCACTGGCTTGTCTCCCCAGCCCAAATCTTGTAAAAAGGAACAGAGCCAAAGAGGTGAGACAACTCAGCCAAGGTCACAGAGACTATATACACCGCATCCCATCACCCTCAGTTGCCTCAGAAGAGCCCAGGAAGATGCAAGACGGAAGCCAAGAACAGAATGAGAACCCCCCCCCCCCCCCCCGGGATGAGTCCAGCCAGCAGGGGGCAGGCGTAAGCAGTGGCCAGTACTAGCGCCTAGGGAAGGAAAACTGGAAGGCTAGCAACTGCGATTAAACAGCTTACGGCCCCACTGCTCCAGGTCTAGCCTTGGGCTCCATAATTTCCCCTGTGGCTTCTCTGGACACCAAGGGCCATTTCCCTAAGGCCCAGGATCTCTAGGGAAGAGCAGAGAGAGGGGTTTGTTATCAGCAGCCATTCACACAGTCACACCCACATCTACCAGAGGTCAGGGAACCAGACCCTGTGGCAGGAGGAAGCTGTGGCTGGTAGGCATATGTTTTTAATAAGAATAAGTCAACTGGACTGGTGGGATGGCTCGACCAGCAAAGAGCTTGTCCAGTAAACACAAGGACCTGAGTTCAATCCCCAGAATCCTAAAACACTAAGCATGGTGATGCGTTCATGTAATCCCACTGGAAGAGAGACAGAGAAAGGAGGATCCTTGGACCTGGCTAGCCAGTCTGTCTAGCTTAATTGGTAAGTTCCAGGCCAATGAAACATGCAGTCTCAAAGGAAGTGGACACCAAGATTGTCCTCCAGCCTCCACACACGTGCATATATATGCACACACACACACGCACGCACACACACACACACACACACACACACACACACGCACACACACACACACACACACACACACGCACGCACACACACACACGTGCGCTTGGAGATGCCCTGAGTCCTGTCACAGGAAATGCATGCTAGCTGGGCTAGGATATCCCCACCATTCCTGAGTAGAGGAGCCTCTTAACTCTCACTCCTGACTCAGACAGAGGGTGTGAAAGACAAGAGGTAGGCCGTCAAGACTAGAGGAGGGCAGCAGGCTTCGCTTTGCACCATGTCTGCCCTTCATGGTGGCCAGTCTTTCTTCCTCTTCCTGATCAACCGGCTCCGGTGAGGACCCCAGGGCAGTGAGGAGGAACTGGAGAGGAAATGAGGATCCAGCAGACAGCTGGGGTGCTGGCCACATACTCCCCAACCCTGGCAGCCCACGCCCCATCACTGGGTGCTAATTAAATCCCCCTAATGAGGAAAAACGGATGCAGGAGCCGGCTCCTCCATGGCCTCCCCGGCCCACCGCCCTCGCCTCTCCATCGGACTTA